TATGGCAGGTCAGACTGGCAAACAGCAGCAGGAGGAACCAGTCCTTTAACTCAGTTCTAAAACCTGTAAAGGGTTGCTGGTATCTCATTGGGCAATGCCCTTTTTCATGGCCCAGATGGGAAGGCAGGAGAAAACAGGCGGTGGCTGGTGGCTGGGGACTGGCATTCAGTCCCTTCTCTGGAACAGAGGTGAGTAGTTGGTCCTTTTAGGCTCTGAGTTACTCTTGAGGCTCTGATGCTTAAGAACAGTTCAGAGTTCTTCCCTCCAGAGCTCTGAGGTCAATGTGGCTGTTATACATCAGCAGGGCCCCTGTTGTATTTTTGTACTGTTTCTTGTTCTGGTTGTTTTAGTCTGGGCTGCCTGTTTACGTGGGTTTTAACTTTTTAAATTGCTTTACTGTGGGATTTTGTTAACCACCCAGAGTCTTCTGGAGTAGGCAGTCCCTACTTAGGGCTTCAGCTCTGCCTCTTAGGCACTCCCCAAAGCAGATCTTGGTCTTTTGGTCTTTGGCCAAAAGTTGTCCATCTCTGCTCAGCAATCAGCATGAAAAGTTGGTGATAATCAACCCACTAATAGTGAAAGTGGGAGTTTCTATCAAAGCAGCCATGCGCTTGCTTCCGAGGGGTGACAGCTGCTCTCTGAAGTTGCCTGATCTTGAGTAAATGAAGGAGGGTCTTGGTTAATCCTTGGAGGGGTCACCACTAGGAAGCAGTGGGAAACTGCTTCTGTATTATGGCCAAGAAAACTTGTATCTTCCTCTCGCTCTCTCCATCCATCCATGTAGTTAGGAGCTGAACTTTACTCGAGGGTGACTTTACCACATGCTTGCTTAATCTTGGCTGTTGAATCCCAGCCCCAAAGGGGAAATATTTACACATGAAATGGCACATGCCCAGGCCATCAGAGTCTGGGGGGCCATGAAAGGACACAGCGACTTCAGCATTCTGAGAATGTGTGCTTTGCTCACACTAACACCGTTTGCAAAGATGGCCTTCTCAAATACCTCACACAGCTTTTGCCAAAATAATATTAATTCTAATTTAAAAATGTAATTGTATTCCTCTTGATCTGGTACTTCCCATTTGGAATCTCTGTGGGATCCCCACTTTTTCAACCAAGCATATGATGCTTCCCTGATAACATTCCCTCCCCATGGAACTTTGCCCTGCCAGGTGAACTTGGAATGGGATAATCTGTTTTTTTTTTTTTAAGTTGGAAAACTCTGCAAAGGGGAAAAGTGGACTTTGGCTAAACTAAGAAGTCTCAATTGGGGCTCAGGTACAGCTACTTGGGGACAAATGTTGAAGAGATGGGCAAGTGTGAATTGGCAGGGTTGGGTGGTCTTTTAATTGGCAAGGACCAAGATTTACATCCAGATCAAGAGGAGCAGAAGCAGTTTCCCTGGGGAGGCACACTCAGGAAAGACTGAATTTTGGAAGTTACTTTCTGTTTCTTCTTTTTTCCAATGATAATGCCTATTCTAGGCCTTACACAGCCATTTTCATTCATGTCCCATCTCAGCTCAAGTGGTTTTCAACACTCTTACTCTAAGGAAGTTCTCAAAGTCACCAAAAGGGCAATTGAGGGTTGCATGCAAATCACCCATCAGATTTTGGAACTCCAGCATCTTTGCTCTTTGGGCTTGTGAAAGCAAAGCTCTCTTGGGCTCCCTTGTGATTGAAACAATAGGATTGGAGATGTTCCTTTAGAAAAATTGGGTTCTGGAGGAGTCTGTTTTTTTCCTGCCCTGTTGCATGTGTATGTGTGCATATTTTCAGATGCTTTAAACCTTTGTAAAGATTTATCTGCTTTCCTTGTTGATATGCACGTAAGATTTAAAAGGAGAAGGTGATGCAAACAATCCTTGCCGATTACACTTGGAGCAAGAAATGTAAAAGCATCCAGGGTGATGTATCTGACATGAATGCAAACCTCGGGAGGGTAGGCAGTCAGGAATCAAAGGTTAGCAGAGATGCAAAGCTACAAGCATTATTTTCAGATATAAAGCCTTGAAAGCTTTCTTCTGCTTATCTTTCTTGCTTGCCTGTAATTTTATCTTTTGTTCTTGGTGGAGCTTAATGCAAATGATGTAACCATCCTCCCTATTCTGTTTCTCCAGGTGTTTGTGACCACAGTGTGGCATTTTGAGCCATACATGGTGCCCTTAGCATTGTTGATGCTCTTTGTATACAACATCTCCCTGAGCTGCCCTGACAAAGCCCTACTCATGCAAGACCCCCAGGTAGGTATAAGGGGGGATGTTATTTTCCAGATCCATCTGGGACTTCACTTGTGGAATTCAGAAGATTGAGAATCAGAAAAGGGCAACCTTTCCTAGACCAAGGACCATCCTCATCCTTTGAGGAGCATGCTGACATGGTTGATAAATCCCAGTTTATACCATGGACGTTATGGCTCCATGTAACACAATATGGAAATCCTGTAACTGCCTGGAGAAATCAGCACTAAGTGGGCTTGCTTGTTCTCTCAAAAGAGGGTGAGGCCAGGACAAGAATTTATTTATTTCCTGGGCTTATGAGTCACTCCACTGTTATCAACTCTGAGCAGCGAACAACAGCCTATATCAGTGTTTCTCAACCTTGGCCACTTGAAGATGTGTGGACTTCAATTCCCAGAATTCCCCAGCCAGCATGGGAATTGAAGTCCACACATCTTCAAGTGGCCAAGGTTGAGAAACACCAATCTATATGATTGCTCCCTGATACTTAATCATTTCCTCCTATTTCCATATTAAAATTAAAATTTGTCAGCAGCTTTGGAAAGACTGCCCCCATTTTGAAGGGAAGTATACATTGCAACAGAATCAAGAAATAGCATCTTGAAGCAAATTGGAGCCATTTAACCCCCCCCTTTTATTACTGTTGTAATACTGATAATAATATTAATATTGCTGCTTTGGTTATGGGTCTCTGATGGGTCTCCTCTCCTGCCTCCCCAGAGATGTGGCAAATTACATTTTTACTTAACCAACTATTTCAGGCACGCTGAGTCCAGTGACAAATGATAAGAGGCCAGACGATCCTAGCCAAATCCCACGTCCACATTTAGCATGTTTTTTTTATTACATCTGGAAAATGAGCACTTTCCACACCAGAGGGGATTTGGGAACAAACAACCCATTAAATACAAGAGGAGGATTTTCAAAGAAAGGGTATAAAAGTCTAGTGAATTCGATCTAGGCTGAAGATACAGAGTTAGAAACCATTGCTCTCCATCACTCATCCTCTGGTGACCCGTCAGTGTCTCACTAAAATCTGAGATTTTCTGCAAAGCAGCTAAATAGGTTATGGATGTTATTATAGATTATCCTTTTTGCAGAGAATACTCTTGTTTCCTAATCCTACTATATCTTTGCAAAGTTCACTTCCAGCGGATGTGTGCTGAACTCTTCTGCACACTCAAAATATATGTGTAGGTGTAGTAAGGTATACTTACCAATTGTGCCCTATATGAAAGCAAATTCCAAAACCTAATGTCCCCAGGAGGAGGAGGAACAGGAGGAGGAACAGGAGTCACTGTAGTGTAAACATTGAAGTGTTCGATGGAGAGATCCAACTTCAAGGACTTTCTCAGCTCCAGAGTGATAGGATTTCATTCAGTCCAACCTCACAGAGTGATTGTTGGCACAAAATGTTGGAAAAGCTTCCATGTAAGCAGCTTTGGAGTCTCAAACAATGGGCTATAAATAAAATGCGATGTAAATATATTCCATACCGTCACTGAATTCATAGCTGTTGAAGGAAATCTAGCCAAGATATGCATCGTTGGTAGGGTTAAATTAATGAACATGAAGCCAAGCCTTTCACACGTTAAGGTAATTCCCTTGCCAGAGATGAAGCAAACATAGGGGAGCAAGATCAGAGTTTTGCATGAGAAGAAGAGAGGAAATGGTCTGGGGCAGAGGGGGAATTTCCAGAAAATCCATTTCAACCTTTAAGCATTCCTGACTCTAATGATAATGAATCTCACAATTAATTTGAGGACACCTTGCATATTATCAAAGGGATGTCTTGGCAAGCGTAGTTACTAAGCACCCTGCTCCTCTATAGATCTTGCTTAGTATAGGAAATTTAATGAATGATTATGACAAAATAAAAATATTGCAAGTATATACTTTGTGTCAGTAGAATGATCTGGAGGTAGCCGAGTTGGAGAAAGAGAGAAAAGAACATGAGAACAGTTGTCCCGGGTCAGGCCCAGGCCCATCTAGCTAGCATACCATCTTATTTGGATTTGAGGAATGCATCCAGAAACCCACAGATTGGAGATAAAGGTAGCCATCCTCTCCCATTGCTGCCTATGCACCTGGTATGTAGGGTTGGACTGCCCCCATGCCTGGAGACAGCATTTGCTCATCAAGGGCAGGGACTGATCGACTATGTGCGATCAAGTCAGTGTCAGTCTTACTGACTGTCTCCACAATGATCTGTCCCTACCAGATTCTTCAGATCTCCCCACAGTGTACCCATCACCACTATAATTGAATCCATTTACCTTGCTGTTGGTCGTCCTCTTCTCTTTCCTTTCATTTTTCTTTTCTTGTGGATTTCTCGAGAGAGCTGAGTCTTCACATCATTTGAAACTGGTTGTTTGTGTCTTGAGTGAGAACTCTAGAATTACTTCTTCTATGATCTGTTTGTCTGTTTTCTTGGCTATCCATGGTATTCTCTGACACAAAAGTTCAAGAGTGTTAATTTTCATTCTATCCTGCTTCTTCAAAGTCTAACTTTCCATAGAATGTCATAGGGAAAATCATTGCCTGCACAGTTCTGATCTTTGTAGGTATAGACACATCATGGCATCATGGCATTCTCCAAGGTCTTCATTATCACCCTATCAAGTGCTAATCTGCAGTGTATTTCTTGATTTCTGGTTCCTTTGCTGTTGATAGTTGTTCCTAAAAGGCAGAACTATCCAGCTCTTCAATGTCAGTTCTAGGATCAGTTGTACCTGTTCTCTTTTTTACATTTAATTGTCGTTCCTTTTTTTTCATTGTGTTCCTTGACTTGCATTACTGGAGTTTGCAAATTATTTGCATTTTCATCTGTCAGAGTACTACCATCAACCTAGTGCAGGTGATTGATGTTTCTTCCTCCAATTTTAGAACCACACTCATCTTTTTCCAATCCAGTCTCCTTCCATATATATATAGATTGTATCTAT